GTTTGATTATAAAAGTGTGAGATAATTTTGATCTTGCTGATGATCTGGACTTAGAGAGGCTACAGCTATATTCTTGTGAAGTTTCAGAAGCAACGGACTCTGTGTAACCGCCTGCCTATTATACAAATGACTGTTGCACAAAATGAGTGTCCATTATGCTAATACTAATACTATGCCAATATTATTATTGTCTGACTAATTACAAAAATGGAAATTTTCTATGCGAAAGAGTATCAATATAATGATGACGACAATAGTTGATGATAATTTTACATGTGAATGAATAAACACTTCCAGTACAAGGTCCAATAGTTCATTGGCTTCAAGTTCCAATGATTTAAGTGGTGGTTCCAGAAGACCTTTAAAAAACGAATTGTAACACATGGTTTTGCGTGGAAGTATTTTGAAAAAGTGAAAGATTCAAATGGAAATAAATTCGTAATTTGCAAATTAAAAAAAAAAAAACGAAATATTATTATTATTGTTATAAAAATAAATTTAGTTGACTAAAATAATCAACTAAATAGTCAACCAGTAGTCGACTAAGTATTTTTTGGACGATTCCAACCTCTAAAGTTTACTGTAACGCTTCAGTGGCAAGACTCTCGTTATGGTTGTATCTTGATCGTTTTCGGTGACCTATTCCTGGGTCATTCTCTAAATTAGAATCTGATATTCCTGGAGAAATTAATTTGAAGATTTCTATCTAAATATTAGTTAAAGCCGAATTTCCACTTGATTGAGTTGATTGAGATAAGATTGTTTTCGTACGAAGGCCATGGTTTCAACATATTCGCAATTGGGTAAATGACATACGCTCGGCTTTGTAAGTGAAAATCTTTTTCACTGCAATCTCGTGTCCACATTTTTGGTATTGTAAACTATTCAAAAGATGTCGAGAAAAATTCCTTATGACATTCCGGTCAGGACCCTTGTACTGAAAAATCGACATTTCTAACAATGTTATCTTCAAGATATTATATGCAAGGGTTTTAAGGGCATAGATAATGATACTTATCAAATTATTTTCCTTCAAGTAACTTGCAAATTTCAATGGCATTTCATTAAATGAAAATTTTGGATTCAATCCTGTCTTTTTACCAAACAATTGTTTGAAATCCTTCTGTAGATTTTAAATTTTTCTGAATATTTTTTATCGCTATTAAGTTTGTATGATTTATGCTTAGGTTCTATTAAATTAATTATTCTGTCAAATTTTTAATTTGTATCATATATCTGGACGAAAGAGCCCAACCAACAATCCACAACAAATTCGGTGGTGAAGGTAAGCATTTTTGTTTAATTGTTATTTTTCAAAAAAGTTACAAGATTTTGAAATTAATAAAGACTTTGGTTGAATTTTACAAGAATCGCTTCACTTATTTATAGTTATGTTAAACGCAAAAGAATTTTCTTGAAGAGTAACGTGATCAGCGCTATCTTTTGCCTAGGGGTAGGGGGTTCAATACGAATGTTACACACTAAGATGTTCCAAATCCCCTGAAATTCATAAAAATAAACACACTTTTTGATTCAAAAAATATTTGTTCCTTGAGGTAAAAGAGAAGTAGTGGTCAAGTTCTTTTTACGTCTAAGGTTTTGTTTATTTTTTTTTTTCAAAAAAAGTTTTTTTATTTAAGCCTTATTTTAATTAAACATTATGTTTTTTTGCTAACACCTTTTTAAATAATGTATTGGACTTCAAGTGTTGCAACAACAAAGGTACTGTGGGCACCAAGTCTGCCCAAACACAAGAGTTAGTTAAGTTTTGATGATAGATTTGTTCTTTTTATTACATTATTATTATTTACCGATCTACATTATATTTATAGAATGAAGGGTTAATGAGCAGAAATAAAGATCTTTGAATAATATAATTAGAATTGTTAATTTATTTCATTTTATACATTCACTTAAAATAATACAGATTTCTAACATTCTATTTAAAATGAATCTATGGTTGAATTATTATTACGCGAGGTATTATTACTATACTCCTATTGTATATTAATGATAATTTTTATATATAATAATAACATTGTGTTAATATTTATTTGTCTTCTTCAAAAAATAGATCTAGAATTATTGTTATGTGACCATCAAAAAAAATCAACATCAATTAACTGATGGTAGTAGGTAATGATACTACTGCTATGAATGATAATTCTTATTGTATATAATAATAAAATTATGAGATCTATGGTTAAACTAAATCATTGTTACGCGTACGATTAATGATAATTCTTATTGTATATTAATATAATAATAACATTGTGAGATCTATGGTTACGCGTACTACTTATTGTATATAATAATACCATTATGAGATCTATGGTTAAACGAATTGTTGTTACGCGTACTATTAATGATAATTCTTATTGTATATAATAATACCCTTGTGAGATCTACGGTTAAACGAATTGTTGTTGCACGTACTTATTAATGATAATTATTATTGTATATAATAATACCATTGTGAGATCTATGGTTAAACGAATCATTGCTACGCGTATTACTTATTTATATAATAATAACATTGTGAGATCTATGGTTAAACGAATTGTTGTTACGCGTACTGCTTATTGTATATAATAATACCATTGTGAGATCTACGGTTGAACGAATTGTTGTTACGCGTACTATTAATGATAATTCTTATTGTATATATATAGAATAAACATTACAATTATAAAGTCTACATTAAAAAATTTTCCTGATGTTGCTTGTGTGTTGAGTAATTGCTTCATAAAATTCAACGTTTTCTTTTTTGATTAGATTATATAGTATTAAAAATATGTAAATATAAAAATAAAATGAGTTATTATAACCTGGCTATAACCTACATTCCTTTTTCTAGTCATATTTTTATTCTTTTACAACCTGATGCTCTTATATATTGAAGAAGAAATTTCAAAAAAAAAATTTATATTAATGAATATCTTGGGGATAATGAGAAGTTGGGGTTTCTTTTTGGCGGCATATTTGTACAGACAATTTTTTGTTTTCGGGGATGTTTTGTTTTCCATTTTTTCAATTTTATTAATAAAACATATAAAATTAATATAGTGGACAGTTTTGGTTTTGCGAAATCATAGTGTGTAACATTCGTATTGAACCCCCTGCCCCTAGGTAAACCATTGGGGTTGGCAGAACAGGAGAGACCGTCTGGGAACACAAAAATTAACAGGAGGGAACACAAAATTTTAACCCATGCTATTTGTTGATTGACCAATTAAAATCGCGAAT